GTTAAGAAACTGGCTAAGCTCTTATGGAACCAGAACAGACAGACCCACAAGGAGGGAGGTTTAATGCGCTGCTGTATTTGACGCCAAGAGCCATGCCTGGTACACGAGATTCTGGGTAAACAGTGGTGACAATATCAACCACTATGGGCTAAGCACACATCCAGCTACTCTGCCAAATCCCAAGGGCAGACTTCAAAAATCAAAATCAAGCTGGCAATCTCTGGTGGGTCTGCAGACTTACAGCCAAGCAGTTGCTGAGCAAAAATGTCACCAGTGCCTCCTATGACAAAAGAAAAGGCACTGGCTTGGGGGCTGGGGCAGGGCTCCAGGCTTCCACTGCTCACCCACCAGCCTATCCAGGGGGAGAAGGTGGTCGCTGCTTACGTTGTACCATTGCACCTACCTTGACTGATGCCTGGGGCCTCAGCAGGAGGTGACATGTGAAGAGAACGGAACCAGCCTCGGTGTAGCACAGTGCTGGCAGCTATGCCACCAGCAGTACCCAGGATCCTAAACATGACAGCTCATTTCCAAGAAGCAGAAGGGGAGTGCGGGCGTGTAGATCACAGGGCCCTGTGAGGACAAGTACAGATCATGGCCACGACATGCCTTGCCCCTTCCTTAAGCCATAGAGGGATGTCCGGGAGGAACAGGAAATTCATCTAGAGCTTGCTAGTTGGGCTCTCTCAGGAGGAACACGGGTACAATGTGCCTCTCACTGACAGGGCTGGTCTGGACATTCTTTTATCAATTCTCTAGCATTTTCTCCTCCAACTTACCAACAACCAGAAAGTAGGATTTGATCTTAGGTAAGTTCAAGAATCACAGAGCACTGCTTTCACAGCGGGCCCGGCAGCACGTGCCAATTTCTCGGACCGTCACCTGTGGGACCGCCATGAGCGCTCTCCAGACTCAAGGCCCGAGGCCGTAGGCCGGGGGGACACAGTTTCCCTCACTCTCCCCAGCAAAGGGGGACCACCTGTCAGCAAAGGCATCTCACCCTCTTCTGCCCGAGGAATAGCACGATAGATACACGGGGAATCAGAGCTGAAGTTGGTGGGGTAGGCAACCAAGAAGAGCTCGTCTGTACTTCCAAGGCAAAGTGGGGCCGTTGACTTAATCACAGGGACAAAGTGATGATGAACATTTCCCTGCTCTGTCCCATATTCCATGATAAGCCTTTCCCTTCGTAAGGAGTTCATTTGGAAGTCCCTGGCAGTGTTTCTGATGTCCTAAGGTTGCATGCTAGCTGTAGGGCAGGAAGAGAGGGCCTGAGCCGAACAGGTGCTGGGCCTCGGTGTCAGGAGACACTGGCTCCAGCCTCAGCTCAGCCATCACCCCGTTCTGTCTCTCGGGATTCAGCATCTCATCTATAAACAAAGGGATAAGACTGTCTCAGGACAGGCTGCCCAACAGAAATGAAATGAGAGCCGTGTAAATGAAGTTTCCCAGTGGACACATTTAAAACTGTAAACAAAGAAACAAACCAACAAACAAAAAACAAATATTAGAAACTGATTTTAAGAATAGATCTTACTTAATCTACTGTATGTAAAATAGTATCATTTTGACATGTAAACAATATAGGAAGTGACGAGATAGTTTATATACTTTTACTAAACAAGCCTCACA